GTGTCTGCTAAGCGACAAACCATTATTCAAAATTTTCGATTAATGATGAAATTATCATTCGGACCAGCATGGATATAGAAAACCCAAACAAGCCCGTATCTATATTATCAAAGTTCCCATTGACAAAAACATCAGCACGGTCGGGTAGTACTCGTCTAAGACGCCGCATTTTTCAAGAGTTCTTCGTGATATGGTTGGATGCCAATATTGATCTAACTAATAAAGATTATCAAAAAATTTTGGCACAACTGCAAAGCATAGCCAACGATATTGATACTTTCACACAATGTAGTGAATGTATCGAGGGTGTGGGTGTAGATATGGGTGTGAATCTTCATCTCTCTCACACCCACACCCACACCCTATTAATGTAACCAATATCTGTCAAAATTATTTCTCTACTTTTATTATATATTCTGAACAATCAAGGCCTTTAATAAGTAAAACTATTGGTGTTAAACAAACAAAAAGTAGAAGATGAATGATGTTGTATTTATTCGAGATATATTAGAATATTCACTGATTAGCAAAGAAGATTCATCGTGTCGGCATTGAAGTAAAGATGCATGGTTGTGAAACCGCCTGTCTCTTGATACTTTTGTTTCAAGCATGTCGGAACTGGATCGCGAAATGCCTAGAATATAAAGAACATAATACAATGATAATTAAAGAATGTTGAGATCAAATACTCGTACCAATACAGTGGCCAACGATGGAAACTCCGTTCGTTTTGTATATTCGAATTTACCAATAAGAGTCCATCCAAATCCGGTCAATTTGCCTTTGTTGTACAAGAGAAATGAGGGAAATATTTCGTCACAGTTCATGTCAGCTCGATTGTCGTACCAATAATGTTTACCTAAACCGAAGTAGACTGGATACGAAGAACGAGAGAGAAAAAGAACTGTTTATTTACCCATCGACGGAAAGCAGAGACCCTTGTCCCATTTGGTCTGGCTAAGATCACTTTCAAAGAGTGGAATTTGAATTGAATCACGGATTGGATCCGTACCATTTTGCAGCCAAAGTCCAGTACCTGTACCTTCGTGTTTAAGACTGGATGGATCCCGACCTGTTGAACAAATAGTGAGTGGATTGACAAAATAGGCGGTGAGAAGATGAGCATCGATGCCGAGAACTTGATCGCGATTGAACATTTTCTGTGTTGAAAATTTGTAATGCGTATCTGAGATGAATACGTCGGGAACCTGATTAAAAGTTGAGAGAGAAGAAAAAAACATAGGAAAGAGACTAGAATATGCAACTTACTGCTAATTGCATGCCGGCTATGGTACCCTGTTTGTCATAAATTAAAATCACAGCTGGATCGTCATTTTTAACGAGTCGTTGTCCGAGAAATAGACCTACAATGAGTAGAACGTCAAGGATGTGAAAAATGATTCGACAGAGAAGTTCAAACACCTACCGTTGCATTGACCTGGAATTTCAATGAAACCATTGTTAAGCGCTTCGTTAAGTGTCAGAGGTTGTTTCACAAAATATTGACTACTCAATGGATTTGGGCCCCAAGTCATCCTGAAAGTATCCCAAGCAGGTCCTTTATTACTGCCTCCGAATAGCAACCCATGTACTGTAGAAAAAAAACACATATAGATGATGGAAAGTTCACACGATTGTTCGATTTCTATTCGACTTACATTCTCCGATGCACACAAGCACGACAAGAATCAAATAGTTCATGGTAGCGTTTTCTTATTATTGTTAATACGACCACTATAACAAAAAAAATGAGACAACCAATTTTATTTTATATACATCTCTGGTAAGAAACATGAGCCAGGTGTCATCGGAGACTATAATCCTTTTTCAATTGAGTGTCTTTTAGTTTCAGATTTTTCAAGAGCAAATGGAAAACATGCTATTGATTATTTTGTACTAATCTGCTCAGTTTTTTTTTCTCTTTTATCTTTCATCAATCTGTGTAAAATGAGGTATCGAATAGAAAAAGAAAATTTAGAGCAAATGATGAATGTTGATACAGGGCTTGATCATAACTGTTAAGTTAGAATACACTTACAATTGCATGCGTAGAATGCAGTGCATAGAAAAGGAAAGAAACAATTGAAGATGCGCAAAACCGGATCATAAACACAAAGAATTGTAAGATACTTATGCAGTTTATTGCACAAGACGGCGATAAAAGACAAATTATGCAAATATGTACAATATTCATTATTTATTCAACTTTTGTAAACTTCCTATCGCATGTTTCCGAATAGTAAATCACGTGTCGAGTGATATGTTTCTCCTTGTATAGAATCTTAGAAATATCATCACGATTTACAGTCCGTTGGTAATGAATGGTCAATCGTAGCAACGGATTTTAGTTCGATTTGTGTGATATAGTGACTATGTTATTATTCAGTATTCGAATATACTGTGGAACTTTCCATATTTTCCATTTTCTATTTCATTTTTTGAATCTTAATACAAAACAAAAATAGATTGACTGCTCAAAATCTTTTGCTAGCTGATTATTATTCACCTAGTATATGTTAAACTGTTGAAACAAGCCCGATCGAACCAAGATCAGTGAGAACAAAACGAACAATACCTATTTACTTCAATATTTACTACGCAGTTTATGAATTGTAAACATTGACAATATAAAAATGTCAGCATATGTGTCAATCATTAAATGCTTGAATCAATTGAACATTTTACTTAACTTGGTTAAGTATGAGCGATACACAAAATAACATTTTATGACTTACGTATTATTTTCTAAAACTATGACGGCAGGCATATACAATCGTACATGACATTTTATTATTAAGATTGTTTGATATTATGTCTCATAAATTAAGATACATCTTATTTCATGAATTCTAACGTGCAGAAAATTATAAAAGCATATCCTGTGAATTTCCTGCCGTAACGCAATAGACATCGTTATTCATACAGCGACTAGACAAATGTGTTGTTGAATGTGCCATAAACATTTCGAAAGAAAATGTTGTGGGTGGGTGTGGGTGTGTGGGTGTGGGTGTGGGTGTGGGTTAAGAGAATAACTGCACCCACACCCTCTTTCATATGAAAAATATCCTTTTCCTGCTTTTTCCATTGTTCAGTGTCTGGCAGCAATACTCAAGACATTTTCATTTTTTCTTTAACTAAACTTTTCATCAAAATACTACAAAAGACTTGTGGTAGATACACTATTTTCTATTCCCAACTTGAATCCCGCTATTGTGGAAGATTTTGCCTATGGTCATTTGATTAGTGTTCATCGTTTTGAGGTAGCCTAGTATAGAATCAGAAGAATAGCAGATCTTTGCTGGTCTCTTGTCGAATCAATAGCATTAGATTATAAATTTTCAAAATTTTTATTTGAAATCGCTGCATCGTTATCTTCACCATCATGTCTTTTTTAACTGATGTCATTACAGAAGAGAAACAAGTAGTTCAATGCTAAATTGAATGTCTTTTTTTGCTGATATAAACAATCATTAGTCGAAATGTCAAGGAAAAGGAAATTCTTTCTCACTTTGAAGATATCCTTAGGATTAAATGTTTTCTTTGGTTGCTTTAAAGTCCAAAACTAAAGAATATCTCATTTTATTTCTAGGACAAGATCACTTGAGTACCTAAGAAGAAAATTTTCCACTTTTTTTACCGTTATTACGTCTGGTCTTTGAGGAACAGATTCATTTCAAAGCCACCATTTACCTTTCACGAAAACCTTCAAATTATCAACATTAATGGAAGAATGAACCATTTTGAACAACAAATACTTTGACGCTTCTTTTCCCATTTCCATAAATCATCCATAACACCCAACATGATCGATATCTGTGTGCTTCACGCTGAACGTATCGCTAGTCTGATCTGTTCAGATGTCTCGTTCAAAGGACCACTAACACTTTATTTTTTTTTGAGAGCTGTTTGAGAACTCTGTCTCAGGTCTTTGGTTGCAATCGAGATTTTGACACAGGAATACATATATGATGAAGAAGATTCTGAATCTTCAAATAATACTTCTATACTGGGCATCTTGAAAAGTATTTCGTTTTATTCTGACTTTAGTCTTGATGATGATGGAATAATTAGGGAATTCGAATATGATTTCTTGCGCTACATCCAGCATCCAATTGATATCCGAATCATAAGATTCAAACTGGAAAATGTAAAAAAATTCTGTTCCTTACAAAAACCCACTGAGCAGACTATCCAAGTGTATTGAGAATTGCAGAAGACTGTTTAATGGACCAATCTGTTTTATTTCAGACATCTTTTCAAAGATTGTCTAACTCGATTTATTAATGAAATTTAATTTGTTCTTCATAAGCTAAGTGATCTAAATAAAAACAGTTTATCATTTACCATTTAATTTTTCAATTATGGCTTGTTCGATAGATACATTCGGATCGTTCCAATGGGCATTTATTCCAAGATTATTCAGTCTCTCCATCAGTCCTTCGTCAACACCACGATACAGAAAATTCTGTGTTGAGAGTGCTTCCGGTCTATGGAAGGTTGTAACACGCTCTCGGGACTGCATGACCTTTATGTAGACTCGCTTTAACATTCGATCTTCATATTGACTGATTGCTGAATGCAAGTCTAGATTATTCTGTGCGATAGTGTCTACCAAATCAACAGCATCCAACAGAGCTTGATTGGCACCTTGGCCTTTGAAAGGAGACATCGGATGAGCAGCATCACCAACAAGTGCAATTTGGATCCCATCATTTTTTAGGTTTGGAATGGGTACTACATCTCTATCAAATGCTGGTATTCCCATAATCAGATCTAGTGGTGTTCTTTCGATCATTTCAGGTATTGGTGAATGCCAATCAGCACATTTTTCCAGTAGCATTTGCTTCAACATCACTGGATTTTGTGATAATTGTGTTGCTAAGCCAAGAGTCGCAGGAAATGAAAGCTGCCACATTATAGACTGTTCTGGTTTGGATTTCGAAAATGGCATAGCAAAAAGCCTAAAGCATCCATCCATAGTTTGAAATACACGGTCCTTTGTAAGGAAATGGTCGATACATCCAACAATTCCCAATACAACCAATATATCCAAATAATTGAGTGGAACATCTGCAAGAGGATCATATTTGAAAGAACGTACTAGACCGTTGATTCCATCAGCTCCAATAACCAAATCAACATCAGTTACTGTATGGCCGTTGGTGCATGAAACTTTGTGTGAGACATGGTCAATTTGGACAATACGATGATTCCATTGGATACCTTGAAGACCTAAAGGATGCAATGAAATGTATCTGTTCATGAGGATCCTTCGTAGTTCCTGTCTTTCAATGTGTAAATTATGTTTCTTCCTAGTTTTTGGCTGATTGTCCTGTTCTGGCCAAAATATAGTTCCAAAAAAACCGATCAGGCTTCCATATTTGTCAAAAATGTAATGTGATCTAGAAGGAGTGTCTAGCGAGTGTACCTGTTGGAATACTTGTAACCGTTTCAGTGCACTGATTCCTTGCAGAATTGTAAGTCCATAACCTTGACGTCTACTGTCCATTCCTGTGTCTCGTTCGTACACTGTAATATCTATGTACCCATGCTGCAGTAATCCGATTCCGACTGCAAATCCTCCCAGTCCACCACCAACAATCACGATTTTCATTCCAAGAATAGATCGATCTGAAAACAAACAAAAAGGAATTCTTGTTGCTTCCTCCTAGATCTATCTGATATATAAATGGACTATACATGTGTCGTCGAAAGGTAGAAAATTCTGCTTCAGTACAATCACTAGAATAAATCAATAGGAAAAACTAGATGAACTAAAGACACCTGAAAAACTTTCCAATTCATCTTCCCTGATCCAATCATGAGAATGACGCGAATACACTGGAGCCGATGGATGAAAATACTACTACAATCCTGTAACCAAGTCTCCACTTGGGATCCTTCAAACACAAGTATTTTCAATGTTTCTTGGAATTTGATTAATTTTTGCTTTTTAGCCTGTCAACCAGCACCATCAACACAGCGCAAATTCATTATTTTCTTCTACGGCAAGGCCGAAAAAGCATTCATGCAACTACTCGCTGGCAAAGGCGTAGATCAGTCTTGAGAATAGGAACAGGTACTTCGAAAAATCAGCAGCCATCCCGTTTATCGTGCTATAGACGGTATGCCGAAGCAGTGCGCACTTTATACAAGATACCTGAAAAAGAAGCGTCGACTTGGACAAGAAGAACAACAACGGTAACAGGCTAAATTTAGGAATGACTTTTTTGAAATGCTTGCTATACATTTCTCTGCCCCATCTAATACTTATATTTGAATAAGGGGAAGTATGAGCTGGTGAAGGGCTGTAGAAGTGTTTGGGTCTAAGGAACCATGGAAAACTTGCATCAATCCTCAATTCTCTTCCCAAAATAATCAACCTACCAAACAACATAAATGCATCTACTTGCTGTAAAAATGTCATCCAAAATCGGTGAAATCGATTTTGTCTTTTCATAAGGAATAGCAAAAGAAACTCTTTGCTGAAGATCATTCAAAAAAGTACCTGATCAAGGTTAGAATCCTATCATACACCTTATATGGGATTGATTGTAGCACTGAGTCACGATCTATCAACAGATTTTTCGACTAATTAGACACAACGAAAATGAGCAAAATCGGTACCGGTTGTTATGAGGAGGAAATTTGCTTACTTTTATTTTGTACATTTATTTCAATTACATAGTTCAGCATTTCAA